TTTTCCATTTTTTTTAATGTTGTTCATTCTTACCGCCTGTTTATTCTCCTTTATCTTTGAAATAAAAGTACAAAGACATCATGTTTCTTTACCATCTTTGTATCCCTGTGCTCTGTCCTCCTGTGCGTCTGTCACAGTGACACCTGTCTCTTGCATTAGCATCAAAGACTTTACAAAATAAAATCCAATACAATTGTAGATTGTCTTGAGTGTTAGCAGACTAGGAAGATTTCTCATTATATGTGCACATACTTGTACTGATGATTGGAGTACCCACAATACTTACAAATGGCTAGAAAACAGTGATGACTTAAAATAAGGTAACTAAAGCTATACATGTTCTGTTCTGATATAAGCATTTAGCTTAAATTGGTTTAAACGTTGTCACTTCTCTGACTAATTTGTATACATAATGTCTTTCAATTCATATTGGTGCCACTGAAAAAGGCACTTAACCATTACATATTTTCAATGTAACAACGTACTTCTTATGACCTACGATACCCCTCTGGATAAGACTAACTGCACAAAGCAAATAGTACATCTGGATGGTGAGTGTCTGCTGCACCTGCTCCTACATGAGTAGAACTCTTAGAGCAGCACCTTTTCTTTTTCAGCTTCGGTATCTACAGTACATTCAGCTAATCATTTCGCATAAGAGGTGATACATTCAAGTTATTGTTCTCCGTGGTTTGCCTTTTGCACCTGCCCCTTTTTTCTCTGTACAGGTGCCGAACAGGCCTGTAGCGGAGTATTCTGCCTTAGCAGCTGAACTCAAATGATGTGTATGTATATATACATATATACATACAGCTCTGGGAAAAAATAAGAGACCACTGCAGCATTATCAGTTTCTCTGGTTTTACTATTTATAGGTATGTGTTTGAGTAAAATGTTGTAATTGTATTTTTTTAAACTACTGACAACGTTTCTCTGTGTTGGAGTTCAACAGACACTAGAATGGGATGGCTGCCATACATGTAGAGATTGAGATTTAAGAAGAAATTGGAGTGGTCCCTTAATTTTTTTTCGGAGCTGTATATATAATATCTAAGTGTTCATCTGCAGGAACAGATGGATAGCCATATGCATACATACATTTGCCAAGACATATATGCGAAGAATTTCAGACATCAGAGATGGGAGAAAGTTGTCTTTGACACTAATTGAGGTTTCCAAAGGTTGAGCGCAAGGTCTCAGCACAACACTTGGTTGGTTTATTCTCTTTTTCCAGCCGTGTGCTTTCCTGGGTACCAGCAGCACCATAGTGACGTGCTGTGGTCCAGCCAGTCCTTTCTCAGCCCACATACAGCAGAGAGCCACTTCACTTGCTCTGACGACGGAAATGTTATACGCCTGGATCGTTTCATCCAGCAAGAGAGCGAGAAAAGATAGAAATGCAGCGCTGGGCTGTCACTCGTGTGCATGCAGCTGCCCTCTTAAAACTCTCTTCTGCAATTTTATCGCATTTCAGTGCCCAGACAGCTGTCAAACGAATGACATGTTTTACATCCACCACAATTTGTACATTTTCATCAGCCTAAAATAGCTCATAAAGCCTTTATTTTTTTACAGGCCATTTCATTTCTGGCGTGTTCATTTCTTAGGGTTGATCCGATGTTGCATCAGAATGATTGCCATGGGATTCCTTATATGAGGAGGAAGAGAGTAACAAAAAAAGGGAGACATTAATGATACAGAGCAGGAATAGAGAGGTTGAAGAGACATCTAGAGAGGCAAAGAGGGGGCAAGAGAGAGGAGAAGATTTGTGAGGAGGAGGCGGGGGAAGAGGAGGCGGGGGGGCTGAGGGCCAGCAGAGTCAGAGATAAGAGGCTGCGAGAGTGATTGAAATAGGATTAGTGGAGACAGGCTCTGCATCCCCCGGCCACAGCATCACAGTGTTAAACCTGTGCTTCACAGGCACTGCCTCTGTCACATCAAAGCCTCCCCAGGCCTGCCTGGCAGAGAGGCGAAGGAGTCACCAGCAGGGTCGTCCACACACACACACACACACACACACACACACACACACACACACACACACACACACACACACACACACACACACACCATACATGATGGGCTGATCACATTCACCATCCGTCTCCAATATGCCTCCATTATGGGCAGGGAGCCGGCTCCTTCACCCTTGCATCCACCTTTTGATTGGGCTGCAGTGTCTTTGTGGTGTCTGTGCATTTGGAGCAAGGATCGGATGCATTGATGAGCCATCTTTAACATTTAATGAGGCAAGCAGTGATGAGTTGGCATTGGAAAGCTACTGTCTCCTGCTTCCCCAGAGTCCAAACAAAGTTTTAATGAGAACTTTCCCCCAATTTGTGCCAAAATCACTGAGCTTTTTAACTGCTTCCCAGACTGAAAGCATGCAACATTTTTCTGAAGCGGGGGACACACCTGTGTCCAAATAAACTAATGTGCATACAGGGACAAAAAGAGTAGTTAGCTCAGTGGCTCGCATGTAGAGCTGGGCAATAAATGAATATGATATATATATATCGTTATCTACATTTGCAAGAAAAAGTATGTGAACCCTTTGGAATTACCTGGATTTCTGCATAAGTTGGTCATAAAATGTGTTCTGATCTGCACGTTTGAAGTTTGCAATAGAGCACCTGGATGTTCCACAGCACTACTGGCAAAATATTCTGTGGACAGATGAAACCAAAGTTGAGTTGTTTGGAATGAACACACAATGCTATGTGTGGAGAAAAAAAGGCACAGCACACCAACATCAAAACCTCATCCCAACTGTGAAGTATGGTGGAGGGAGCATCATGGTTTGGGGCTGCTTTGCTGCCTCAGGGCCTGGACAGATTGCCATCATCGACGGAAAAATGAATGTTAACCACAGGTTTTCTTTTATACTACCATTTGACTGTTCTGGCTCATGTAAAATGTTTAAAGGAGTTTCCTGATAGTTTAAATATTTTCATAAAATATCCCCATTTATGCCATTGTTAATTCGCTTATGGTTACTGTATCCATAAATCGTTTCTACATCTTAACTAAATCTCTTTATTCATCTTTCTTGTGCTATAAAGGGTGCTATTTTGTTTCTCAAGTACAATCAAATACTGCAGATGCTCACCAGCTCTGCATGCGCTCCATCAAATTAGCGCTCACTGTTCCATATTCATCTCGTTTACTTATTCTTGAGTGTCTCAATATGATCAGATGTTGCACATAAGTCCTGTTCTGCTGCACTAGATTATGATCCCTACTGTATAGCTAAAATGGCCTGTTTATCTGCTGAAAATAGACAATCCACTGATTGGTGTGTGTGTGTGTGTGTGTGTGTGTGTGTGTGTGTGTGTGTGTGTGTGTGTGTGTGTGTGTGTGTGTGTGTGTGTGTGTGTGTGTGCGTGCGTGCGTGCGTGCGTGCTGGTAGTTTTCCTCTCGGAGCTCATCAGTTCATATCCACCACCCACCCCACCGCAGCATGCAGTAAATAGAGTCTCCGCCACTCGTTGAGAAATGGCACAATTATCCCCTGCTGGTGAAATATGGGCCTGGATGCACCACTGCTAGTGTGTGTGTGTGTTATTGTTGGGGCTTACTCATTGCGAGTGGTGTATTCAACACACAGAGAACAGTTCTCACTTATGGATCTATACACATGCATGCACCACATACACAAGTGTAAATGCACATGCAGGGTTGCAGCTGCTCACACAGATACTTGCTGTATATGCACACATGCAGATTGGCACGCACACACTGCACTTACAGGGCTCCTCAGTGTGCACACAATGCAGAATGTTGCAGTTTTAGCTGAGACAAGCAGATAGAATAACTCACTGTCAGTCAGACTGTAAGGTCAATCTTTCAATTCAAAAGATTCATAGCAACCCACTGTGCATGAAGACATGGCAAAAAGGAAATATAATACCTTTCAGTTCTCAGGAACTATACACCACTGACATTAGCACATAGGCTTTTGTGAACAATGTTCCCTTTGTGTTAGGTTCCACTTAGAAAATGAATACATTTTGTACTAACTGTCATGTTGGTCCTCAGACCTCCATCAGGCAAAAAATATCAACTGTAAGTAAACAGCACATGAAATACCAAGCACCAATTATTACGCTTTTATTGACTGACCTACAGCTGCGATATGATTCCAAATGTTTCTATGTAAATATTCTTATTTTCATTATACATATTAACCATGCTGTGTATTTTTGAGCAGATCTTTATTTGAATATTGCACCAATCCATATTGTTTAACGTATCAAATTCAAAATGCATTGTACAGACCAACCCAGCATCCATACAAAATAAGGTCAATAAGATCTATTAATTGCAAACAAACCCTTGTACTGAGCTACTCCAGCTATAAACAAGAATAATATGTATACAAATATCAAAAGACAATATTCTTACATTCAAAGGAATTCCTCCATATAAATCAAACAGATGTAAATACTATAGAAAATACAGTATTCAAGGAGTAAACAAATACCAAACAGATACGATATTGACTTAATTGTAAATTTCATGCTTGCTGTCGGTTTTATTCATAATAAAATGAATGTAAACATGAATCTGTTCACTCTATGGGAGCTGATTAATAGTCGCTTCACTAGAAGAGAATGGTTTTCTCTATTTTACAGAAGGGAAATAAATTACTCAGACATTGATAGTTTGTACTGCATACTATTAAAACAGCTTTACTTTTTTAATTGTTCACTGTGCCTGTATGCTTTTAGACCTTTTCCAAATGTTCGGTGAGTCGCTCAAATGTCACAGGGCTGCACATTCCTCTGAAGTCAGCCCTAGACATAATGTTATTAACCTCAAGTGATTGCTTGTTCCAATAACTTTTGACATTTGTGTGACTTTGCAAATTGCTAGTTGCAACTAAATGGCAGAAATGACAATAATGGGACATCTACTTTTACCATGGGATGGCAATTTTAGTGAACTATGTCAAAATACTGTAGGTCAAAAACACTCAATTTAATTTCTCTGTCTTACAGGTATGGAAAAATAGTGTCAACCAAGGCCATTCTGGACAAGAACACCAACCAGTGCAAAGGTAAGTCATTACTTGAGTGTCTTGTACACCCATCTTGTTTAAGTGCAGCAGCTATCACTCTTTAGTCTCTGTCTTGTCACGGTTAACAGCACTACAAGCCGTAAATTTAGACATCAGCCGAGGAAGCCTTGTACCGTAAATCAGTGATTTAGCTGGCTTAACACTGCAGGAAGGCTCGGGGTAAACAACCTGCTCTGTGATGTCGCTGCCCTGCTTCAGAGGAGGATAAGCAGCCCCTCCCTGTCTCCTCTTCCATTTCCTGTTTTGTAATATGGAAGACAATCTTTTGCTGTGTTTCTGTAAAAGGTCCATTAGTGTCTGCACAGTAAATGCAGCGATGACATTAGTGGCTCATTTTGAAGTTGTTTCTTGAGCACACACTACACACATTTACATGCTTGAACATACGCACACACTCGAGGGCTAACAAGGTTGTCAGGATTTGATTAACTATTTGCTATCATTGTCACGCTCATCTTCGTGGCGTCTTGGCGTCTATCTTTACTTCAGCCAGCTGCCTCACACGGCTGTGAATACATCTCACACATTTATTTTTCATACAATCAGTCGGTAATGATCAAAAAGAGCTTAGTCTATAGTAAAGAAAAAGAGAGGGATGGAGTGAATGGAGCGACGAGAGAAAAAAAGATTCGCCCCGAGCTGTCTGGCAGCACTGTTTAAGAGCTATTGAAGTTCCATCAATACTTTTAATTGCTTTTTGTGGTTTCCCGGGCTCTGAAGTGTGGCCTTCCAAGGTGAAGCTGCCTTCTTAACCCCGCTCCACTCCTGAGTTGATCCTGCAAGGCATGCTCAGGGTCAACATGTTGAGGGAAATAACCTCTGCCTGTTAGAGGGGAGGGGGAAAAAACGGCTTGATTATCTCGACAGGTCCTTTTTCTAAGTCCTACAGGCCGTTAAAGACAAGACTGGATGCATGTTGGCTGGAAGGAGGTATCTACAGGTCCAGGACAAAGCACAGGGTGGTGGATTAAAGAGGTGTTGGGGGGTGGGGGGGGGTGTTTAAAAGAGAGAAAAAAAAGGTGAAACTTTCGATTTCTGAAAGAAATGGCAATGATCAAAGGTTTTTTACTCACTGTGAGTTATGCACAGCACACACAAAAAATCAGCTCAGCTTAGCGCTGTGTTGTGTGGGAGACAATGTTTCCCATAAGTCATCCTCCTGGAATGCAGCGCTGCAGAGATGCCAAAAGGCAAATATAAGCAGACGTATTTTACGAGTGGAAAGGCTGGTCCCACTGAGAGAGAGAAAGAGAGAGAAGGAGATGGACAGAGGGGAAGTGAGAGTGTGAGGAGAAGGACTTAGTAACCTTGAAGAGAACATTACATGTATTTTACGTTTGAAAGACAAGTTAAGGAGAAGAGAAGCAGCACAATAACATCATTTCTGCTGCTACCACTCGGCATCCGTATCCAACTATCTCTCGAGAGGTGAGCCGTTATCAAAGCATAAATGAACCAAGCAGGTGTATGGAAGCCTGATGGGCTGGCGTGCGTCTGCCCCC